AGTTCTCTCCTTCCACTATGTGATGGTCCCAGGGATTGAACTCGGGTTGTCAGCCTTGGTGGCAAGCCCCCTTGGCCACTGAGCCGTCTCACTGGGCCATGGGTTTAGTTTTCAGTTTTCCTGGCCCACGCGTAGCTGTTTATTTTTCCTCACAAGCCTGTCTTTCCACACTGAGTCTTTTCAACAGTTTGCAGCAAGTGTTCTCATGTAACTGGTTCTCCTGCCCTCCATTGCCTTCTCTTGCTTTGCAGTTTCGGCTCGTTGTGGGAGGAAGGACACTGGGCAAGGACACTGAACAGCCCAGCTGGCCTCAAACGTGAGTTCCTGGTCCTCCTCCCTCCACCTCCCCAGTGCTGGAGGCATGCGCCACCACAGCAGCAGCAGTACTGGAAATCAGGTCTCCCTCCCGAAGTATTTCGGCAGTGATGTAGAGCTGGGTGAGAGTATGGGTCTGGCTGAGGAGGGCACTCAGCTTAGCTCCCCCATCCCTGGCATTAATCCCTTATGCACTCGAAAATGGAGTCACCAGTTACTGGCCTCCTTGTCTCCATCTGCACACATGGTGCTAAGAAAGCCATGGTGAATGAATGGGCTATTAGGTTTCTGACTGTCTTGCTCGTTTTCCACATTTCCATAAACATTTACAAATAAATCCTAAAACAGGTAAACTATTTGGAAAGTAGAATTATTTTTAAAGTTTGGATTAATTTCACCCCTCAAAGTATTCCTCTATTTTCAGTCATTGTAAAACTTTTTTCATTGTGTATATTCATTGTACAGGTGCTGTGTTACAGACAACTTCATGCACCTGTCTTTGCATGTCAAGCATATTCCCCCACACCTCTTTAACGGCCCCTTTGTTGCCCCTTCCCACCTCCATTAGGGGTTGAACATCAGATGTTTGCATTACGATTCGTAACAGTTGCAAAATTACAGTTATGAAGTAGCAACGAAAATAATGTTATGGTTGGAGGTCACAACGTGAGGAGCTGTATGAAAGAGCTGCGGCGTTAGGGAGGTTGAGAACCACTGCACTAGATACTGCTCCCCCTCCCATGTCTTGTGTACTTCTGTGATTTTATGCATCTATACAAAATGTAAGAAGCACAAGAGCAATCATTGTTTTTCTGAAACTGGTTTAATTTGCCTAATATGATTATCTCCAGTTGCATCCATTTTCTTGCAAATGACCGCTTAATTCTTTTTTATAGCTGAAAAAAATCCACTGTGTGTGTAAGTAAATTTGTTGCAACTCTGTGGGTTTGGTCCTGGATTTCGGCACCAAAACATGAGTTTTGCAACTCTGGGAAGGGGTATCCTGACCACTTGGGAGTCAGGGGACGGCTGGAGCTGTGATGAGACAGCGGCCCTGGAGGACGAGGTAGCTACTTAGGGCAGCTCTGACGGCTGGAGGGCGAGGTATCCCGGGTACCTTGAGCCACTTGGGGCAGCTCTGCCCTGGAGGGGAAGTTTTTCTGACTGCTGGGGAGAGTCAGGCCTGGAACTGCTTCAGCAGGGAAGAGTATCCTGACTGTTCCCGGAAAGTCAGGGTATACCTGGTGTGATGGGGGATGGTCTCCCCGCAGGATATAGCAATCCTGCTCCTCCCCTGGAGAGCCGCTACAGCTGAGTTTTGCTCAGCCCCCACTTAAGGAGGCTTCCTAGCAGAGCTCTGCTTCTCTGGCCTAAGATGTTGCTTCTTTTGCTTCACCACTGTGCAAAAGGGGAAACCCCTGCAGAAATGTAGCAGTCTCCTCTGGCTCCAGAGAAAAGTGTTACTTTATCAGCTCTTTTAGCTCTCCCTTGCTCTGTACACTAAGGGACGTCTTAGCAAGGATCTTCTCCAAGCCAGTGAAGGAAGATCTTCACACCCAAAACTCTTTTGAAAAAGAGATTTATTTGGGAAGGAGGAGTCTTGGAGAGTAGCTGCCTCTACCAGGGTGGAGAGAACAGCCCACAACTGACCAGGCAGGGCGGTTTATATAGGATGTCTTCGGGGTGCAGTCAACCAGTGATTGGTTAGTTTTTTTCTGCCCAGGGACTGGCCAGTTTTGTGAGCTAGGGACAGAGATTTAGCCCTGATTTCAGAGCCAAACTGTGTTTCTTTCACTGGCTTTTCTTGGCTTTTTGACACTAATTCTAAGGCCAGGGCACATTTCTTTCACTGACTTTGATTCTAGGGATGAAGAGTGTTTCTTTGGCACTAGTATCAGAGTCAGGGCCTGTTTCCTTGGTTCTGGGTTTGGGGATAAAGTGTTCATTTCTCTGGCTCAGGTCCCAATCCCAGGCTGTGTTTCTTTCCCTGGTCCTGGGCCCCCAGGGCTTCCTGCTCTGTGATTGGTTGGTTTCACAAGTCAGTTGGCCAGGGGCAGAGATGGCTCTGATCTCACTGAGCCCAGGGCCAGGGTGCTACTTTGTGATTGGTTGGTTTCACAAGTCAGTTGGCTAGGGGCAGAGATGGCTCTGATCCGAGCCAAACTGTTTTTCTTTCACTGGCCTTACTTAGCTTTTTGACACTAATTCTAAGGCCAGGGCACATTTCTTTCACTGACTCTGATTCTAGGGACCAAGAGTATTTATTTGGTACTGGTTTCAGAGTCAGAGCCTGTTTCCTTGGTTCTGAGTTTGGGGATAAAGTGTTCATTTCTCTGGCTCAGGTCCCAATCCCAGGCTGTGTTTCTTTCCCTGGTTCTGGGCTCCAGGGCCAGGGTTCTACTGTCCTGCTCTGTGATTGGTTGGCTTCACAAGTCACTTGGCCAGGGGCAAAGATGGCTCTGATCTGACTGAGCCAGACTGTGTGTCTTTCACTGGCCTTATCTAAGCCATCTTTCCCTAGTTCTGGGCTCTGGGGTCAGGATGGGTTTCTTTAGCCAGCCCCTTTTCCCTACAGTGTGTACATTTTCTTTATCCAGTGTCCTGTCAATGGACACTACATTGTTCCATAACTTATTTTGACTAGCGCTGCAATAATCATTGATGTGCAAGGATCTCCAATACAGTAACTTAGAGTCCTTTGGGTAAATAAACATCTAAGAGTGGTTTACCTGGGTCAGATCTACCTTTTTCCCAATCACCATAGTGGCTGGACTAGGTTACATCCCTACTCTTTTGCCCATATTCTTGCCACATTCGTTTTTTGTTGTGTGTTCATTCTCCTAACAGTGCTAGAGATTGAACCCAGGGCCTAATGTGTGAGGGGCCGGTGCTCTGCACTGAGCAAAGGCCTCAGCAATGTCTATTTTTCCTTAACAAATGCAGTTCTGAGGTGAGATGGTATCTTATTCTTTTAATACCCTCCCTACAGTTCTTCATGCATCCGTATTTTTGAGATGCAATCTTGACAGTTTCAGTTTATAATCCTCTGGTTGCTTGTGGGGTTGAATACGTATTCATATTTGTATTGCCATTTGCATTCCATCTGAGAACTATCCATTTCATAAGCCTATTTATTGGGTTGATTTCTTGTTTAGTTTTTGAGTTGAGTATTCTAGATATTAATCCTGTCAAGGTGTACAACTAGCAAAGATTCTTCTCCCATTCTACAGGCTGGCTCTTCATTCGACCAACTGTTTCCTTTGCTACACAAAAGCTTTTAGTTTCCTGAGGTCCCATTTGTCAGTTGTTGACGTTACTTTCTGGATAACCAAAGTCCTACTTAGAAAATTCTTACCATGCCTATCTTTTTCTTCAAGTTTCTGATTTCAGGCCTATGGTACTTGGTCCATTTGGAGTTGAGTTTTGAAGAGGGAGAGAGAGAGGTCTAGATTATTTCTTTTCCTACCATTTGTTAAAGAAGCTGTCTTTTCTCTAAGGTAGGTTTTTGGCATTAGGATTTGTTTTATGAAGTTGGATGCACCAGTGTTCAGTGTATACATGTTAAAATTTCATCCTCTCACCTCTCATCTGCCCTTGGTGATGAGGCCTGTGCCATGGAGAAAACAACAGATGGATCCTGTTCATTCATTTTTTTACATTTACTATGTGTGCATATGTTTGGATGCACGTGGCCACAGCACACGTGTGACCTGAGGACAAGGAGGAAGCGGGTTCTTTTCCTTCTACCATGTAGGTTTCAGAGCCTAGACACAGCAGGAGAGAGCTGGTGTGCTCAAATGACCCTGAGCATTATACAAAGGAAGAACAGGTGCCAGATGGCGAGAGTCAGCCTCCTTGCCAGCTCCAGGCTCCCAGGTGCCTGGAATGACACTCTTTTCCAGGAACCATGTATGCTTTAAAAAGAAGTAAGAAACAGAGCATGGTTGCACATACTTAAAATCCTAGATTTGTGGGCAGGACACTGAGGCAGGAGGATGTTGAGCCTGACACCAACGTGAAACAAGAGAAAGGAAGAGGGGGGTGGAGGGGAGAAAGGAGAGAAGAGAGAGGGGAGAGAGAGAGAGAGAGAGAGAGAAGGGGGAGGGGAGAGAGAGAAAGAAAAGGGGGAGGGAGAATTTTTATTTCTATCAGAACCAAATCTCTTGTGCTAAGGAAGTAAAATGATGGAGACAAGTTCAGGGCTAACTGAGCATCTGCACTCACTCATCTGTACTCGGTGTAAGGGGACAAATTACCCGACCTTATTGCAGCTTACACTTTTGGAGGGTTTTTCTTTTCAGTTGGTTTTTCATCCGTAAAAGTGAACATCAAAGTCCAGGCATAATGGCCCACAATGCCTACGTAATCCAGCACTTGGGAGGTGGAGACAGGAGGTCACTAGTTAAATGTCCAGCATTTATATTTATACAGTGCTGTGCCAAAAATACTGCTCAGTGCATCGCTGCGGGAACCAGGAGTACATACGTGAGCACAGAGGTACCGGATCTGACCGGATCTGACCAGTACCTCCCTCCAAACTACCCAGACTCGGCTGGACGAACGGCCCCGAAGCTCCGAGGGACCCGTACCTGAACCGGGGCTGCACCGCTCTCGCGAGAACACAGCTTTACAAGCCACGTCACTCCGTGCCGGAACCAAGCTGTGAAGGAAACCCCCCGCAGCCGGCCGCTTTGGGGATAGGACTTCCGCCGGAAGGGCGGTCGGGCTCCGAACTCCGAGTCAACTTCCGGCTGGTGTGGGGCCCGGAGCGCCGGCGGGGCCGTGCGGACTCCCGCGGAGATGGCGTGCGCAGCCGCGCGGTCCCCGGCCGACCAGGACAGGTGGGTCCTCGGCAAGGCTGGCCGCGCCGCCGCCGCCGGGCTCGGGGCTTCCCCTCCGCCGGAACCCCGCCGTTCCGCCGCTTCCGAGCCCCGGTAGCACCCGGTCCCCTGCAGCCGTGGCGGGGGGTGCGGTGCCGTCTGGAGCCGGCGTTAGGGAACAGTCGCGCCGCGAGGGGCGCCTCTGATTAGTGAGGCTCTCGGGGAGGCTCGCCCGCCGCCTGCCTTCGGGGTTTCTCCGTCCCGTGTAAGAGCGCGTCCCGGCCTTAGCAGCTCCTGACGGCTGTGGGGTCGGAGTAACAGTCGCCGCATTGTTGGCTTCAGTCACTATACATTTATATAACACATATATATATATTTATATAATATGTATGTTTATATTATATATATAGTTTATATAATATATAGTATATTATATAATTATATATTATATATAATTTATATAATATAATATATATATATATATATATATATATATAATGGTATAAGTAAGATGTCTCTGCAGTGACAATGAAACCGTCCCTTTTAAATTACCACTTGAGTTACCTAGCTGCGCCTTTTTGTGTTTCTGTGCCAGGTTTATTTGTATCTACCCCGCTTACTTAAATAATAAGAAGACCATAGCGGAGGGGAGGCGGATTCCCATAAGTAAGGTGAGTGAAGGCCCACGAAGGCTTGGGGAAGGTTGCCTTGTCCTGGTCACGACTGTTTGTTTTTTACTGCCCTTCTTGACTGAAGAGCACAGTAGCCAAGGTTTGCGGTGTTTCCCTTAACATTGGTGAAACCGGAAAGGCACTGAAGACCCTTGCAGAAGAAAGAGGATTCGTAATGACCTGTTGGTGAATAAAAGGTGTATAAATAAGTGTAGAGTTCTCACGTTTTAAAATCGAGATTATGACAGTCTTCTCAATAAAAGCAAAGTGATGGCATTGTAAAGCACAATGTGCTGGATGCAGACTCGCTTTTTTAATGTGTGGGACCAAAGGTTTGTACAAGCTGCAGCTTTGTTGGGTTTTGTCTTTATTACTTTTTTGTTTTGTTTTGTTTTGGAGACAGGGTTTCTCCGTGTAGTTTTGGTGCCTGTCCTGGAACTCACTCTGTAGCCCAGGCTGGCCTCGAACTCACAGAGATCCACCCAGTTTCTGCCTCCTGAGTGCTGGGATTACAGGAGTGTGCCGCCACCACCACCACCACCCCCCGACTTTACTACTTTTTTAAGGAGTATAAAATCAATTCAAAGTGGTACTTTTGGAAAGTAGAATTAGAGGGTGGGGTGTAGCTCCATGGTAGGGCTCTTAGCACACATGAGAAAGGCCCTAAGTTTGAAGCCCCAGTCCGGGAGAGCACGATTAGGCAGGTTGTTGGATTTACGGTTCTAAAAGATGTGATCTTTGGGCAGGAAAACCCTAATTTGGGGCTGGGCTGGTGACTAAAACTTAGAAAATGCTCAGTGCTAAATGAGAGATCTCCTGGAATTTTTATGTAATATTCTAGTTTTAGAGTCATCAAGTTGTATAATGAAATGAGGTCAAAGCAAAGAATTAGCTATTTTTATATGAGCATCTCTCATTTGGCTGTTATTATGAAGAGTAAAATCCACCTTGCCTCTTCCCAGGCACTGTTGAGAATAAGGCCCAGCATCAGGCACGGTGACAGGGTCTGACAGCCACTCCCAGATGCTCTTTGAAAAAAAATTTTTTTTTTTTTTTTTTTAAGAAAATTCACTGACATGTAGCTAACAAACTTAACAAAAGTCTTTAAGTGCATAAATTGAATAATTTTCATACAGGGAGTACAGCTAGCTGGTTATAGCACCCAAATTTAAGAAAGAGTGTGCCAGAAGAGTCCGTCTGTCTCCATCTCCATCTCTTTCCTGTGCTCACTCATATAAGGGAACATTGTTCTGATTTCCAGCACCATATGTTACCTCGGGCTGGTTCTTATTTCATATGTATGGAGTTATTCATTATGTACCTTTCTGTCTTTCTCACATCTTTATAAAGTTAGAGATTTATTCATACTCTTACTGGAATTTTTTGCATGTTCTGTTGCTTGGGAACGAATGCACGGCCTCAAATAGGCCAAGCAAGTGCTCTGTTGCTAAGCAACACCCCAGTGTAGTTCAACTCTACTTGCTCCAAGCAAGAGTTTCTTAGCAGCAGCACCATTGACAGTTTTTGTGTGTTTTAAAGATTTATTCTGTTTTTATTGTGTGTATATAAGTGTTCTGTGTGTGGGGTGGGCACATGCGAATGCAGGTACTCTGGAGGCCAGAGGAGGTCGCTTCCTGATAGGGGTGCTAGGAACTGAACGTGGGTCCCCGCAAGAGCAGTACAAGCTGCTGGGCAGTCTCTCCAACCCCCTTTGACATTTCCAAGTCAGGTAATTGTTTGTCGTAGGCAACTGTCTGTGCATTGTAAGGTGCATGATAACATCCCTGGTCTCTACCTGCTAGATCACAGTTCCCTTTCTTGGGTTATCTTGAAGCAGAACTGTCTCCCAACGTGACCAAACGTTCCTGGAGTACAGGGAGTGTAAACTTCCCTGCTACAAAGTCCTGCTGTGCAGAGCTGCATTGTGTGAACCCCACACTGCCTTCTTCTGTTTCTAGTTTGAGGCTTACAAGTAGTGCCGTGGGACTAGAGAGATGGCTCAGCAGTTAAGAATACTTACTGCTTTTGCAAAAGACCTGTTCCCAGCACCCACATGGTGGCTCACAACCATCTATAACTCCAGTTCCAGGGGATCCATGGCCTCTTCTGGCCTCTGTGGGCACCGTACAAATGTGGTGCACAGACACACACATAAAATAAATAAATGCTGAAAGTAAATAAGACAGATACGTAGTGCTACTGTGAACGTGCTTGAGTTTGTCTTTTGTGCTTCCGTTGAATACATACCTGGACTGCAGGGCCACAGGGAACCACGTTCAGCTGTAGGAGATAACAGTCAGTGTTCTAGAATGGCTTTATGTGTCATGGTTCAACCAGTCAGTTTGCATTCAGCTTCTCCTGTGTTCAGAATACCATGCTCGGTGCTAGGCTGTGTACTGATGGAGTCCTTTCTCTCGCAGTTATGTTGAAAGGGAGAGAAAAACACACAACTGTGTTATTCCCGAGGGTTTTTACAATTACAGTAGAAATAAGTGGGCTTAGTAAAAAGGACAGTAGGGTTCATCTTTGTTTTGGTCATGATATTAGAAATGACTTGCAGAACCGTATAGTAATGCTCACTTAGAACTGAGCTGCTGCTGAGTGTTTTTGTTTTTAATTGTTCAGGCTGTAGAAAACCCTACCGCTACTGAGATCCAGGACGTGTGCTCAGCAGTTGGACTGAATGCATTTCTGGAGGTACGGTGCGACTCTCTCATCACTGTTGAATACTCACCTCAGTGATGTAACAACTCTCTGAAAGCCTGTTTTTGTTTGTTTTATTTGTGTTAGAAAAACAAAATGTACTCCAGAGAATGGAACCGCGATGTGCAGTACAGGGGCCGAGTCCGGGTGCAGCTCAAACAGGAGGACGGCAGCCTCTGTCTGGTGCAGTTCCCCTCACGTAAGCCTTAAACAGATGCGTAGGGCTCTGGGGTAGTTTGTCTTGTATGAAGGGTACAAATACCACACGGCTCTAGCCCCAGCGCTCAGGAAGCTGAGGCAGAAGGATTGCTGCAAGTTCAGTACCTGTGTGGGCTCCGGAATGAGTTCAAGACCAACCTGAGCAACTTTGTAAGACCTTGTCTCAGAATAGAAAACTTCAGAAATCCAGAGATTAGCTGAGTGGTAGACTGCCCGGCATGCACAGGGTCCTGGGTCCAAGCCCCGGGACCGCAGAAGGAATGAGGAAATGCAGTCCAAGGGGCACTATGGGGCAGAGGAAGCAGACATGCCCACGGGGCGGCACCACTGTGCTGCAAACTTGAATGTTAATACTGCTGTTTGTTGATGGATACCTGTACAAGTGCTGCTTTAAGTGGGCCAGGAGCCACAATACCCACTTTTAAGACAGCAGTTATCTCACGGTGAGTGGTAAAGTAGGAGAAGGACGGATAGAGATCAAGGGACTAATGGTCAGAGAACATGGAGGGCCGGAAGATGGCTTAGAGGACAAAGGCACTTGGTGACCATTGTTCAATCCTGTAGCCATGTACAGGTGAAAAGAACAGACAGACTCCACAGAGCTCTCTCCCTCTCACCTTCACATGTGCACCCCGGCATGCATGCCTGCACACGCATCATGTGCATGAATACACACACAGGATGATGGTTTTAGTTCAAAAACATTTAGTCCCGGGGCCGTGAGAGGATACAGTAGGTGACAGTAGGTGACGGTAGTGTTTGACAGTGATATGACACCAGACATATCACTCCCTGGTGGGGAGCCCACCTGGCAAATCGAGGGGTCACTGGCTGTGGAAACCAGTTATTTTCTGTCTGTAACTTTCTCGGGTGCCATTGCTTTCCTCCCTAATAAGAACGGCTCTGGGGTTCTTTCTCCAGCCCTTTGGTAGTGTGTTTTACATCTCTGGGCACACAGTTAGCTGTGGATTTCTGTTTAAGCTGTATAATTCTAATGAAAAGAAATATTACCAGAATATTCTTCTTTACTGACACAGGAAAGTCACAGTACTCTCAGTCTCAAAGACAGCCTTTTATACGTTTTGCAAAGACCTTAGAACAAATTCAATACAGACTAGCTGCCCCTGCAGAAAATTCAAAAAGAGTAATTCCCAGGTGTTGTTTATTGCTAAATCAAGGGCAGGCTGTCTACATCAAGACACGGTCCTTACAGGAGCTCCTTTTCTGCACGTACCCTGACCGCTCAAGGTTCAGCCAGCTGTTTAATGTCTGGGATCCCTCACCAACCTAGAGCTACGTGCATGGGTCAGTGTGACATTACTAGCCTGAGAGAAACTGTGTGACTTAT